CACCACCACTGCACTCGCCAACCGGGTGAAAGGCAAGACTTCGTGGTCTAACAATCAATCAATCAATCAATCCAAAGTACATAGAAATACATTTAACAAAAAAGAATTGTATTAACATGTACTCTGAAAACTACAAACGTTGCTGAAATAAATTTAAAAGATCTAATCAATGGGAAAGACATCCTATGTTCGGTATGGATTTTGTAAGACTGTTTAAAATATTGATAAGATGGCAGTGACTCCCCCAAAACTGATCTACACATTTAACACCACTCCTCTCGAAACCCCATCTGTCTTCTTCGCAGAAATCAACAAGCTGCTGGAGTGCAGTGATGAGATCAGGGCTCATTGAAGCCTTGACATCCCAGGCTCAGGCCATCCTCCAACCTCGCCTCCCAAGTAACTGGGACTACAGGTACACACCACTATACCCAACTAATTTGTTTTTGTTGTTTGTTTTTTTGAGACAGTTTCACTCTTTGGCCCAGGCTGAAGTGAAGTGGTATAATTTCAGCTCACTGTAACCTCTGTTCCCTGGGTTCAAGTGATTCTCCTACCTCAGCCTCCTGAGTAGCTGGGATTACAGGTGCTCGCAACCATGCCCAGCTAATTTTTGTATTTTTAGTAGAGACAGGGTTTTGCCATATTGGCCAGGCTGGTCTTGAACTCCTGACCTCAGATAATCCACCTGCCTCGGCCTCCCAAAGTGCTAGGATTATAGGTGTAAGTCACCATACCAGGCCCCAACTAATTTTTTAAAATTTTATATATATGTGGTCTTGCTATTTGAGATCAGGACTGATCTCAAATTCCTGGGCTCAAGCTATCCTCCCACCTAGACAGGCTTACCAAAGTGCTGGGATTACAGGGATGAGCCACCATGCTCAGCCTACATTCTGATTTCTGAGTAAAGAAAAATAGCTTAGAGCAGTCTGGGATGTTGAGATGCAAAATTTATTGAGGCCAGAGAGACATGAGTATGTCAAGCTCCCCTGCCCACCCACAGACATGTCCAGGGGACAATTGTTTAAAGGGATTTGGGGCCAGGCATGGTGCTATAATCTCAACACTTTGAGAAGCAGAGGCAGGAGGACTGGTTGAGCCCAGGAGTTCCAGACCAGCCTGGGCAACACAGAGAGAACCCATCTCTACAAAAAATTTAAAAAACAATTAACTAGGCGTGGTGGTGCACACCCAGATACTTACAGGACTGAGGTGGGAGGATTGCTTGAGCCTGGGAGGTGGAGGCTGCAGTGATTTGTGCTTGCACCAGTATGGTGCAGCCTAAGCAACAGTGAGACCCTATCTTAAACAAAACCAAAAGCCAAAACAAGCCAGGCGTGGTGTCTCATGCCTGTAATCTCAGCACTTTGGGAGGCCAAGGCGGGTGGATCCCCTGGGTTCTGGAGTTCAAGACCAGCCTAGGTAACACGGTAAAACCCTGTCTCTACAAAATAAAATAAAACAACATAAAATTAAAAAGAAAAGTCAATGTATAGCCAATTAATAGTTAATGTTATTTTATGGTAAATTCTTGGTAAACAACTTAGGAACTATCTCTTTTTTTCTTTAAAAATTCACTTGTAACTGCTGCTGATCAGAGCATATATTCAGGGCAACTTAATCAAAGGTCCCAGGTTGCAGTCCTCAAACTTGACCCAAATAAACTACCTTTTCAACAAAGAATGCTGAAACAAATGGATGTCAGGTGAAAAAAAAAATGAAGTTGGAACCCTAGCTTACTTCATATACAAAAATTAACTCCAGGCTAGGCACAGTGGCTTTGTCCTGTAATCCTAGCACTTTCAGAGGTGGGAGGACCGCTTGAGCCCAGGAGTTCAAGACCAGCCTGAACAGTATAGTGAGACTTCGTCCCTACTAAAAATTAAAAAAATTACCTGGGCATGATGGTGTGTGTCTGTAGCTTCAGCTACTCAGGAGGCTAAGATGAAAGGATCACTTGAGTCCAGCAAGCTGATCGTGCCACTGGACTCCAGCCTCGGCAACACAGCAAGACCCTTTCACACCCACACATACAAAAAAAGACATGTCTTTTAAAGAAATTTAAAAATTAGCCATGTGTGGTGGCAAGCATCTGTAGTCCTAGTTATTCAGGAGGCTGAGACAGGAGGATTGCTTGAGCCTAAGAGTTTTGGAAGTTGCAGTGAGCCAACTGCCATGATTGTGCCATTGCACTGAAGCCTGGGCAATTGAGCAAGACCCTATCTAAAAAAACCCCTCAAAATTGGCCGGGTGCGGTGGCTCATGCCTGTAATCCCAGCACTTTGGGAGGCCAAGGTGGGTGGATCACAAGGTCAGGAGATCGAGACCATCCTGAATCCCTGTCTCTACTAAAAATACAAAAAATTAGCTGGGCATGGTGGTGGGCGCCTGTAGTCCCAGCTACTCGGGAGGCTGAGGCAGGAGAATGGCATAAACCTGGGAGGCGGAGCTGGCAGTGAGCCAAGATCACACCGCTGCACTCCAGCCTGGGCGACAGAGCAAGACTCCATCTCAAAAAACAAACGAACAAACAACAACAACAAAAAAGTCAAATAAATAAAATCAAAACGGACCATACACCCAAATGTAAGAGTGAAAAGTATTAGAGTTTTAAAAGAAAACATATGTGTACATTTTCAGGAGCTTTCATTAGACAATGGTTTCTGAGATATGACATCAAAAGCACAAATGACAAAAGCACAAATGAATATATTTATCAAAAGACAAAATTACAACACATTTAGTTTAAAAATCTTAATTGTTATTTATTTGTGATTCCAAACTCAGGCAATATATCATTCTATAAAACAGAATGAGTCTTCCAAAGAGCAAAGCAGAAGAGATTGCTTTTATAAACAGGCAGAGAGGACTTCCTTATCATGCCAGAGATAGCTTTTACAGACAGGCAGAGGGGATTTCCTTATCATGCCAGCTAAAACTGGCCTGTTGGAGGATTTGGCTATTCTCTCTCTTTCTCTCCTGATTTCTCAGAAGGTCAGATAAAGATCTTAGTTTTGACTTAGTGACATGCAATTTCAGCATGAGTAACTCCATTTAGGTTGGGTCTGTTAGGCCTAGGACAGGAGCTCAGTCCAAACCAATGGCCTCCTATAAATTTTATTCTACACATTGAACATCACTGAAATATAAAACTTTTTGCTTCCAAGGACATCATCAAGAAAATAAAAAGCCAAATCACAGAATGGGAGAAAATATATGCAAATCATATATCTAACAAGGCTGTTCTTTTTATAGTCTAGATATAAATGGTGAGGATATGGAAAAATTGGAACTCTTATACATTGCTAGAAGAAATGTAGGACGCTACAGCCTCTATGGAAAACTATTTGGTGGTTCCTTCAAAAGTTAAACACAGAATTAACATATGACCCAGAAATTCTACTCCTAGATATATATCCAAAAGAATTAAAAACAAGTACTCAAATTCTTTTTTTCGAGACAGAGTCTTGCTCTGTTGCCTAGGCTGGAGTGCAATGGTGTGATCTCGGCTAACTGCAAGCCTCCCGAGTAGCTAGGATTACAGGCACCTGCCACCTTGCCCAGCTAGTTTTCGTATTTTTAGTAGAAATGGGGTTTCACCACGTTGGCCAGGCTGGTCTCCAACTCCTGAGCTCAAGTGATCGTCCGCCTCGGCCTCCCAAAGTGCTGCTATTACAGGCTTCAGCCACCCTGCCTGGCCAAATTCTTATACACCATTGATCACAGCAGTATCATTTATAATGGCCAAAAGGTGGAAAAAACTCAAATTTCCATCAACTAATGAATGAATAAACAAAACGTGGTATAGCCATACAATGGGTTATTATCCAGGCATAAAAAAGAATGAGTACTGATACATGCTACAACATGGATGAAACTCGAAAACATTATGCTATGTGAAACAAGCCAGACACAAAAGGCCACATACTGTATGATTTCATTTAAATAAAATATCCAGTATAGGCAATCTATAGATATAAGGAGTAGCCTAGTGATTGCCAGGGGCTGAGAAGAGGGCAGTGGGAGTGACAGGGTTTCTTTTCTTTTTCTTTCTTTTTTTTTTTTTGCAAGTCTGATCTTATTTATTTGTTACTCACTTAGAAGCAGAAGCTCGCAGAGAGGAAAGTCTGCGTCTCTTCGTAAATTGTTCCCGGCACTTCTCCTTAGCCTCCTTAATTTCTCTTGGCCAAGAGTTTAGCATATTCTGCAGCCTCTTCCTTATTTTTCTTAGTACGCTGCTTCTTCAGAGCAATACACTGCCATCTGTGCTGCAAGACACGTGGAGTAACAACACACTGAATCTTGGGTGTTTTGTTTCTAGGTCCTAGGTTTCTTACCTTCTTTGTTTAAGCGCTTTCTTACAACATACTGGCGGACATCATCTTCTTTAGACAGACTGAAAAGTTTGGCCAGGCGCAGTGGCTCACGCCTGTAATCCTAGCACTTTTGAAGGCAGAGGTGGGTGAATCATAAGGTCAGGAGTTCGAGACCAGCCTGGCCAACATAGTGAAACACCATCTCTACTAAAAATACAAAAAATTAGCTGAGCGTGGTGGTGGGCACCTGTAATCCCAGCTACTTGAGAGGCTGAGGCAGCAGAATCGCTTGAACCCTGGAGGCGGAAGTTGCAGTGAGCCGAGATCACACCACTGCACTCCAGCCTGGGTGACAGACTGAGACTCCATCCCCCCCCAAAAAAAAAAAAAAAAAAGTTTGCGAATTCTGCTAGCTCTTTTGGGCCCCAGGCGATGAGGCACCATAGTATCAGTCAGTCCGTCAGTCCAGGAATATCCTTCTCTCCTTTTTTTTTCACAATAACCAAGTTGAGAATGCTCAGATTGGCATCCACAATACAACCACAAACTGATTTTCTCTTTCTTTGTCCCACTCTCTTTGGTCTGTAACAGGAATGCCCCTTACTCAGTAGCAGGCAGACACGGCCATGGGTTAAGACACCCTGCTTCATGGGGAAATTTGTCGTTCCCACCACTGATTCAGACCACATAACCCTTCCATTCTTCACCCAGAGCATCAGCAGCAACTTCTGTGGCCATATGCTTCTCACAAAAAGTACGAAGTTTGCATTCATCATCCACTCCAATGAGTTTCTGGCAGCCAGTGGCTGGGAAGATAATCAGTTTCATCTTGAAGCATCTTTTCTTTCTTTCCTTTTTTTTTTTTTTGAGATGCAGTCTCGCTCTGTCACCCAGACTGGAGTGCAGCGGCGTGATCTTGGCTCACTGCAACCTCTGCCTCCCGGGTTCAAGCGATTCTCCTACACCAGCCTCCCGAGTAACTGGGACTACAGGTGCGCTCCACCATGTCCGGCCAATTTTTGTATTTTTAGTAGAGACGGGATTTCACTGTGTTAGCCAGTATGGTCTCAATCTCCTGACCTCATGATCCGCCCGCCTCGGCCTCCCAAAGTGCTGGGATTACAGGCTTGAGCCACCGCGCCCGGCCAACAGGGTTTCTTTTTGGAATGATGACAATGTTCTGGATTTAGATAGCGGAGATAGTTGCACAAGTCTGTGAATAGGCTAAAAGACATTGAATTGTACAGCTTAAATTGGAGAATTATGTGTTAAGTAAATTGTATCTCAACAAGGGTTTTTAATTTACCAAGGTTTGGGTGAAAATCAATGTGTATAACTTTCAATGTAAGAGTTGGAAAAGTATCATAAAAATGCTAACAGTGACTAGACGAGATGATGCATGTTCTATCTTTCTAAATGTAAGACATAACTTTTACAGCATGAGTTCCTGCCTAAGATAAAATGGGTATTTAAATATCGTATTTAAATGTTCTAAGTGTCAGACTTCCTTTCTTTAGCTTTTCCACAGATACAGAATTTTAGCTGTGGCTCAAACTTGCATGAAAAATGAGAATAGAAAAATGTGACTCTCTTAAACTGTAGATATTTAATAAAGACTAATTTGCAGGCATCATGGTGAAATAAAATGGTTAATTCTTTTAATATATAAAGCTCATTGTTCAAATAAAATCCAAGTTCTAAAATCTTAGATTTTATGAAATGGATGTGAAATGGATGAAAGTGTTATGAATGGTGCTGCTTTGCTTGAGGTACGCCTTTATCTCCACTCCTCCAAACACAAACATATGGGGGCAGGCAGGTCTAAGCAGTTTCTTGGAGCACAGTTTAAAAGGTCTGAGGGACTCTAGCAGCCCAGTCGGCCCTGAATTGTGTAGTGTTTGGTAAGGTACAGAAACTCCAGGGGCTCCTGACAGAAAACTCCTGTTTCCTATTTGTCAGATGAAGGGGGGCTAACCTACAACTCCTTGAAAGCCCTTTCCTACAGTGGAAGTCTACAATTCTATGACCCTGAAAAAGCTAAAATAAAAGCTAGTAGCCACTGGCTTCCAAAATGTTTACCAATCACCCCAGAGCTTAAGGAACAAAGATCAAAACAAGCCTTGGGCTATAATCACCTTACCCAAACCTACAAAATAAACAGTAGACTAAAAATAGAGAAGGGTAAGGCTTATTTCAAAGTGAAATGATCTGAACAAAGGGCAGCTGGTTTTCAGTGATCTTTCTTATCTCTTAGATAAATTTGTTAATGGGCCATAAATACACAAAGGGTCTGGTTGCCAAGTGTCCCTGCAAAAGGGAGGAGAGGCCGTATATCACTTCTTGGGGGATGGGAGGGAGTAGCATCTCAAGGAGAAGTAGCACAAAAGGCCTCTCCTGAGATAGGAAACAGGCCCTGGGTCAGGCAGCTGTGGGTCTGGCAAACACTCTCAGACCTCAGAACAAGAAACCCGTTGAAGGCGGGGCACAGTGGCTTCCGCCTGTAATCCCAGCATTTTGGGAGCCATGGCGAGAGGATTGCGTGAAGCCAGGAGCTCGAGACCAGCCTAGGTAACAAGGGAGACCTACTCCCCTGCATCTGTCTGTCCAAACAATTTAAAAATTAGCCAGGCATGGCTGGGCATGGTGGCTCAGGCCTGTAATCCCAGCACTTTGGGAGGCCGAGGCAGGTAGGATCACCTGAGGTCAGGAGTTCGAGACCAGCCTGGCCAACATGGTGAAACCCCATCTCTACTAAAAATACAAAAAATTAGCCAGGCGTGGTGGCATGCGCCTTTAATCCCAGCTACTTGGGAGGCTGAGGCAGGGAGAATCGCTTGAACCCAGGAGGTGGAGGTTGTGGTGAGCCGAGATGGCAGCACTGTACTCCAGCCTGGGCAAAAAGAGCGAAGCTCCTTCTCAAAAACAAAACAAAACAAAAATTAGCTAGGCATAGTGGCATGCACCTCTAGTCCCACCTCCTCGGGAGACTGAGGTGGGAGGATGGTTTGATCCTGGGAGGTTGAGACTGCAGTGAGCCGTGATCACGCCACTGCACTCCAGCCTGACTACAGAACAAGACCCTGTCTCAAAAACAACAAACAAAATACGTACGTGTGTGTGTGTGTGTGTGTAAAACCTGTTAAAGAGCTGGGGGGTGGGGGGTGGAACAGAGATGATGCTGGCCAAGGTGGGGAGAAGCTATATACTATATGAAGGACAGGACAGCCCTCACACAGAAACACCGGAAGGAGCTGCAGCTGATATTCTCCTGATGACACAGTCTAACTCCTTACACTCAAAATGGGGTCAGTAGACTATCAGCATAGGCAGCATCTGTGAGTTTATTAGAAATGCAAAATCTGGCCAGGCTTGGTGGCTAATGCCTGTAATCCCAGCACTTGGGAGGCCAAGGTGGGTGGATCACCTGATGTTAGGAGTTCAAGACCAGCCTGGTCAACATGGCAAAATCCCGTCTCTATTCAAAATACAAAAAACATTAGCTGGGTGTGGTGGCATGCACCTGTAATCCCAGCTACTCAGGAGGCTGAGGCAGGAGAATTGCTTGAACCCAGGAGACGGAGGTTGCAGTGAGCCAAGATGATGCCACTACACTCCAGTCTCGGTGACAGAGTGAGGCTCCTTCTCAAAAAAAGAAAGAAAGAAAAAAAGAAACACAAAAGCTCAGATCCAACCCACACCTACTGATCACAGTCTGCATTTTAACAAGATTCCCGGTGATTGCCTGTGCATTAAAGCTTGGGTGTAGCTGGAAAAGTACCTTCACAAAGACATCAACCATGCTGGTTTTACCTAGTGATTAGGGAAAACCCTGAGCACCCAATCCATTGTATCTATGAGTTCCAGTATTTTTTTTTTAAACAGGGTCTCCCTCTGTTGCTCAGACAACAGTGCAGTACAGTGGTGCAATCTCCACTTACTGCAATCTCCATCTCCAGGGCTCAAGCAATCCTTCCACTTAGTCTCCAGAGTAGCTGGCACCACACGTGCCATGCCACCATGCCCGCCTAATTTCCATATTTTTTTGGTAGAGATGGAGTCTCACCATGTTGCTCAGGCTGGTCTCAAAATCCTGGCTTCAAGAGATTCTCCTTTGTGGCCTCCCAAAGTGCTGGAATTACATGCCTGTGCCACTGCACCTAGCTGTTAATTATATCTTTTTAATTTTTATTTATTAATACTATTTATTTTTTAGTAGATACAAGGTTTTACCATGTTGCCCAGGCTGGTCTTGAAGGCTGGTCTTAAACTCCCAGACTCAAGTGATCGGCCCACCTTGGCCTCCCAAAGTGCTGAGATTACAGGAGTGAGCCACCGTGCCCCGCCTCCTTGTATCTTTTTTTTTTTTTTTTCCTGAGACAGAGTCTGGCTCTGCGCCCAGGCTGGAGTGCAGTGGGGTGATCTTGGCTCACTGCAACCTCCGCCTCCTAGGCTCAATTGATCCTCCCACCTCAGCCTCCTGAGTAGCTGGGACTACAGGTGCAGGCCACCATCTCTGGCTAATTTTTGTATTTTTAGTAGAAATGGGGTTTTGCCATGTTGCCTAGGCTGATATCGAATTCCTGAGCTCAAGCCATCCACCCTCCTGGGCTTCCCAAATAGCTGGGATTATAGAAGTGAGCCACTGGGCCCAGCTCTGGCTCTACCTATATCTTAAAAAAAAAAAAAAAAAAAAAAAAGGCCAGGCATGGTTGCTCATATCTGTAATCCCAACACTTTGGGAGGTGAGGTGAGAAGATCACTTCAGGCCCTGAGTTCAAGACCAGCCCAGAAGCTGGGCGTGGTGGCTCATGCCTGTAATCCCAGTACTTTGGGAGGCCAGGCAGGTGGATCACGAGGTCAGGCGATCGAGGCCATCCTCGTTTCTACTAAAATACAACAACAACAAAAAAATCAGCCTGGCGTGGTGGCATGTGCCTTTAATCCCAGCTACTTGGGAGGCTGAGGCAGGGGAATCACTTGAACCCAGGAGGTGGAGATTGCAGTGAGCCAGGATCACGCCACTTGCACTCCAGCCTGGTGACAGAGCAAGATTCCGTCTCAAAATAAATAAATAAATAAATAAATAATAAAAAAAAGACCACCCCAGAAAACAAAGTGAGGTCCTGTTCTACAAAAAAAGTCTTTAAAAAAATTAGCTGATTATGGTGGCACATGCCTGTAGTCCCAGCTACTTGGGAGGCTGAGGTAAGAGGATTGCTTGAGCGAGGAGTTGGAGGCTGCAGTGAGCTATGATTGCACCACTGTACTTTAGCCTAGGCAACAGAGTGAGACCCTTCTGGAAAAAAAGAAAAACAACTGCACATTATTGGCATGGTGGTATGCTAGGAACACACTAGACTGTAAACTCCATGAGGGCAGGAACCATGCCTGCTTTGTTCAACACAACATCCCCAGCACTAACATATGGCTCAGGAAATGTCTGAAATGAAATATCTGAATATTTGAATGAAAAACAAGTTGAAGTGAATGAAAGGCAAGTTGATTCTCCATGAACATATCATTTTCAGGTATGTTCTTCATGTACATACCTGAAAATGGAATAGACATTAGCTGCACTTAGATGAAACTACTCTAATCCCTGGATTTTCATGAAATCAAGGATGAATTTACCTGACATTGAAAAGGACCATGAATCTTGTGTGAGTTGATATCATATGATGTTTATCATCATAACTTAATTATTTTAAATGGAATTTTAATAGTTTATTTTTATTTATTTATTTATTTATTTTGAGATGGAGTCTCACTCAGTCGCCCAGGATGGAGTACAGTGGCGCGATCTCGGCTCACTGCAAGCTCCGCCTCCC